TAATTATAAAAATGCATTACATGAAGACGACAAACAGGTCATGTTATTTTTACAACAAAACAAAAACAATCATTTGGAATTTTTTTTTTTTTTTGCTTTGACTTGCAAGCAAAAATATGAGATAGGCCACACAAACTGGAGATAAACAATCCTTCTGCCTCCACGCCTTTTCGATCCAGAGGGGAGGATACATTTCAGATTAATATCAACAAATTTGGTGTAAACATCTTAAACCACTTCTGATTAAAAGAGCTGCCCCGAACCTACTTTTTGCACGGTACTTTCTTTAACGTCAACCAAGTTTGTCCTTTGATTTGACCCAATTTACTGCTCACATCTGGCATACGTGCACGTGAAACACCACTTGCCCCTTTCAAAGCAACGTGTTTGTTTTCTACTTTACCTTTACTCAATTTTTTTTTTTTTTGTGGGGGGGGGGGGGGGGGGATACTATAAAGTATGACAATGGCATGCTTTTCATGTCACGGAGCCAAAAAAAAAAAGAGGATCAGCCTCCATGTGCATTTCAACACTTGACAATGCAACAGTTGTCGCATAATGTACAGCGTTGCGAGGATGGCTCGATTGTCAGGAATGTTGTCCATCAGGCCCGTCGAAACAGACACGCACATACCATCACCTCACCCATTTGACATCATACGCCGGCAACACCCTCTCACACACCTTTACCTACATGGATACCACTGCTCATGTGTGTTTCTTCTCTGGAGGGTTGAAAAAGTCTCCGGCAAATCATGTGAAATTTGGCCTTTTTAACTCGAGACATGAACACATCCGCGAAAGCCTGCCGCTTTAGTTTGCTGGGCATATAATATCTAAAAATGGGAATTAAAAATCCGCGCTAGGTGCTGTACATGCTGATCCAATGACAAATAGTTAAAAAATGCGGTTGAACAGGCATGCAGTCCTCCGCCGACGTATTTGGAGGAGAGATGCTGTGAGAGAGGCACAGCAAAAGAAAACAGGGGAAAGTCACAGATTAAGATCAGAGCAAATGCATTTTTGTTCATGCGGGTATTTAAAGAGTCTTTACAAAAAGGGGGAGAGAATTCCAATCGTCAATAGTGGAACCTGTTACATGCACATCGAGTTTTTTAGGCCAAAAGCGTCTTGACCAACATTACACAGGCGGAAGATGAGTCATCTGTAACTTTTGACATTCTTTGCGGTGACGTTACAGGCCAAGACCAACAAAGAAATGCTTCCATTGTTACACCTTTCCCGGGTAATCTACTCCCAGGAACTACTGTTTTCTCAGACTGGAATTGACGTCAACTGCGGGTCATCCAAGTCTTTATTTTATGTCTTTGAGTTTAGGCTTGCTGTAATTATCTTTGGCAGGGATGTCAAATTAATTTTCATGGTGTGCCACATCACATTTATAGTTTCCTTCAGAGGGGCCTTTACAACTGTAAAAATCACATTGATATCATCACCCCACTACATGATTACAAAAACACGAATGCCCTTGCATTTATTGTGATGTACATTTCCAAAACACTATCGTATTGGAAATCACAAGTCAGGAAAACTCAACAAAATATTTACATTTAAAACGACTGTTCAGTTTATGTGAAGGGACGTGGCACAAAATAATATTTATAACAAATCAATTTAGCAAGATTCACAAAGTAAGACACACTTTATTAGCTTAAGTGGTCCTTCTCTTGCCCCAAAATATGATGAACCCATTGACATGTGGGCAGGGTGCTGCCTGGATTGATGCGAAGCACCATCGTGACTTCAGACGGCACATCCGATAGGATGGATGATGGCGGAGTGAGTTCGGAGTGTGGAGGCGATATTGAAGAAAAGGCAAGGGGAAACTTGAAGAACCCCGAAGTACACCTCAGCGTGGTCTTCAAAGTGCTGGAGCTCACAGAGGAGACTGATCTACATTTTTTAGATGTTTCCCTCCTCCAACACACCTGATCCAAACGATCAGCATTCTTATCTGGCTCCTGCAGTGCTTGCTGATGAGCTGATTTAAAATATGCAGGGAAGCGGCCCTCGAGGACCACAGGTTGAGACCCTCGGTCGAAGCAAAGTGGCCGCTTTTCTCTGAGAACAATCTGTTTGAAGTCCCACATCTGTGTTAGTGGTTGATTGACTCCACTAATTTTTTATATGCAGGAAAGGGTAGAAAAAGGATGGTATTTCCAAAATTATAATCCACTATGGGCCACGGGTCATCGTGCAAAAGAATGCACAAAAATGTTATGATTGATGGATAGTTATTAGTGTTAAGGGGGAATGGACGCCACACTGCACACTGGTTGGTCTCTAGTTGTTTGCAGGCTGCAAAGTATAAGCAGTAGGTGATCGTTTTTTTGAGGGGTTTTTTTTTTGTGAACGGCGGGACTGAAACGCATTGATCGACATATGCCAATCACATACTTTTCTGTGAAAAACTCGGAGCTGCCTTAAGAATGATTTAGGCACAGTAACAAAGAGTAATTGTACTTTTTTATGCTTGCCATGACTGTCTTGAAGCGATTTTTTTTCCTCAACTGTTGCGTAAACCCGTGTTATTATCAGTCTGTGGCCCTGAGGTCACATTTTGGCGCCCAAAGAGCTTCATATCTGCCGGCTTAGACAATGCGTTTTACGCCATACATCAGCAGGAGCGGAACAGGTTTGACTTCCTTTTGGCGAGTGACACATACACACACTCCTTCAATAATCAGCCAGAGACCAAAAACAAAGTTGAAATCTTTTTACTTACGCCTAGCGGCTCGGCTCGTGCATATCAATGTCTTGGCGAAGAGGGCGGGGACTGAGGGCGTCTTGAGGGTGGGGCAAGAGCTCTGAGGTACAGGTGACAAAGCTCCACCTGGCAGCGGTGTTGCGTCTGGACCCTCGATAGCTGCAGTAGTGGCACCAGCTAACAACTTTGGACAGTGACGCCAGCACTTGGACCAGGTGAGACCCTCACTGATGGATCGTTCTCTCTTTTGGGATATGTAATGACTCGGGGGTCAGGATTTATATTGACAGAAGTTCAAAAAGGGGAACTGATCATTGTCTTTGAAGGGCTTTAATATTGTTCTGTTGATAAGCAAGAGACTGGCACCTCTGCAGGATGTTCTGATATGAAAAAATAAAATCGAGGGCCCAGTGAACGAAATCAACAATTGGTCCAAGATGGTTTGTTTCTGTAAAGCTTTTACGTCTTCTGCTTGACTGTGAGGTAGCTAATTTTATCCAGATTTCAAAATGTTTTACTTACAGGATGGTCCCATAAAGTCGATCATCACGCGAAATAGTTCTTTTTGTATCAGATTTACGAATCTGAATATCTTTTTTTTTTTCTGCTAAATTTTTCTTCTAAATTAGAGACCTGACTTTCAAGTCAGGTCTCTAATTTAATTCAGACTTCACTTCACTTGTGATGAGAAGCTGGAGCAAAGACTTCCGCCGAAATGGTTGTGAAGGCGAACTACCAGACGGAATACTTCTCGTTTTGTATCAGACGTACTAAACCTTGGTGGCTGATGCGATCATGCAATACGAAATGGTTTTTTTTGTTTTTTTTAGTAGGTTAACTTCAAGGGGTATTGGCAATACAAACAATGACATTGTGTTCTGAAGGTGCAGGCAGGTGGGGAGTTGTGACTGTTGTTGTGATCACAGAATGCAGACCGACCTGATCATGAACTTTTCACGCAAGTCATCCGCATTTTTTTAACACAGCAGCTTGGCTATTTGTAAGCGTATAAGTTAAGCTTTTCTTTTAACTGTATCGATCAAAAAGAGGCTGAAAAGTGCTTCGAAGGGACCATAACTGACAGCCCCCTTACAAATTGTATTTTCAGTATATTCACAGGGTTCCCCAAATTCCTCGGCCACTTTCTCATGCTGTGATTTCATGTTGGGATTTTGTTTCAATTTGAACAACCTGGCATATAAACGTCTCTTGGAGCTAAGCCCTTTAGTCATTATCAGCAGCTCCCCAAATCATCTGCTGACGGGAGCATCCGCATGGCAGCTGTGATGCAACAATGCATTCAGACAAAGCCCGTTCTTTCATCTCTTGCGCGTCATGGAATCTCATCACAATAATGTACGTCATGTCGCTCGCATCTGTTCAGAGGCGCAGAGTGAGGGAGCAACCAGTTCGCCGAGATGAGCTGCGTTGGCCGCACATGACGCACACGAACGAAAGAAAGACAAGAAAAGTCTATCCTGCCTCTGAAAACAATCCGTTCGTTTTCCGTTCGCGAAATGCATACATACTGATAACAACTATGAATTAATTGCTCGAGATTGGCAGTCGTGTTCACCTCTTAAGATCAGAGCATTCAAATCAATCCTACACGTTAGTCACGAACATTTGGCTCGGCACACCCTTCCATCTGTGAAAAGCATGCGGTTGAGCAACATTCCTCGACCAGAATGTGTGGATACATGGATGTGGGCATGTGAAGCATTGACAGGAAACCATCATCTGCTTTGTCAAGTGGCCAAGAGACTGTATACTCAGCAATGAGTCATTGTAAGTGTGTTTGCGTATTAATGCAGAGTCTATTTTTATGAACGCTCATTCGGTAACTCTTGCACATTTTTGTTTGTTTGTTACATTGTGATTAATGCAATAAAAAGTGTAGGCGGGCTGGCTCAACTGATCAATGGACTATCAATGCGAGACACGTAATAGTGGTCAACTTGAAAAATAATATTCAACCTTCCATTCGCTGTGGCCTACCTTTGCATTAAATATTGGTTACATTTTTTTAACGTCTTGCACCGCCTTGTCAACATTTTTTGTGCGAGCACATTCTTGCATTACAGCAGTGCGGCCCGATGGAAAGAAGACAGCCTTGTGATGAACTTTGTGACAAAACATGAATGCAAATATTACTTTCGCCAGTCTCCGAATCAGTGTTCATGTTCAGAGAAATGCTGTTTGTATTTGTCCCCCCGCCCCCCATTTTTAGATCATCCATAACTTCTACAGTACGTATAGATGATATTTTCAAATGCAAAAGAAGAAAAAAAAAAAAGGCAAAACACATGACTGCAATCAAACGCACTTGATCAGCATGCTAATGACTAGCCATACCTAAAAGGAAGCACGCCAAGCGGGGACCACACCCAGGCGTTGCCTTGGTCCAGGCTGCTGACAGCAAACATGCATGCAATGCAACAGCAGCAGCACCTAACATCGCAAGCGTGACTGATCAGTTCAGATTCCAAACATTGTTTGGAGCCGGTTAAAATTCATATTCTCATTTTTAATATGCTTTGTAATACATATACATCACTTCCTGGAAGTTGTCAAATACAGATCGATTGAAAAAATAGGTTTTCATTCCGGGTGTATCCGAACGTACTGTATGCTTGAGGCACCGTGGTTGTTGTTACTTTAGCCACCGCGAGGGTTACCGAAAGTGACGTTTTAGAAGCCGACCAGCACGCCGCACCATTGAGATGGTGTGCAGTTTCCATGCGCTACACAACACAGCATGTTTTGTTCTATTTTATTTATTTATTTATTTTTTTAAGTTCGAGGAGGGGGATTTTAACACACAAAAGCCGACAAGAACGTTTTCAAACCCGACATCATAGGTGTCAAACTCCGGTCCTGGAGGGCCGCCGTCCTCCATGTTTTCCATCCCTCCGTGTTGCACCACACCTAATTTATGTAGGACGGTGGCCCTCCAGGACCGGAGTTTGACACCTATGCCTACATGTTTGAGCCAATCAGGACATCGGAGCCTGTCAGTGGAAGAAAAAGTGAACGTGATGACTGAGACAATGCCACTGAGGAGCCTGGTTTATTAGAGTCAAGCCTACAGAAAGGCTTTGCCGTGTGGAGCAGCTTGCCATGTAGGCCGAATAAATACATATTACAATACAGGCGCACTTTCCTAAGGAAAAGAATTGTTGACGACGGCCGGTTTAAGCCTATATCAAACTACATTTGTGTATCCGATGCTCTCTGCGAAATGTTTGTCCGGAACTACCCGAATCCGAGAGCGCGGGATATTCAAACCCCAAACAGCACATTTTGAATTGTATTTAGTGATTAGACTGCCGTCTGTCCATGATCTAATTGATGATTGAAATGATCATTTGTAAAGGGGTCCTGGAGGGCTCAAGACAAACTTTTTCAATCTTTGGTCTCTTACCTTTAAGCTCCACCATTTGTGTATTTTTCACGCCATCTACAGGCAGGAAGCGTCGTTATAAAGCATGGAAGTTGCAGACAATCTTATTCTCTTCTTTTCTCTTGTAGCATCATGGCATCAGATGTAAAACATCCCCCTCCCTACACCATTCCAGGTATGTTCAGCATCAACATCGTCTCCAATTGTCATCTTGTATTTTTCATCAATGTGCTGTTTTTTTTTCTGCTTAAGTTGACCAACCTGAGGGAGACAATGTGAAAATCTATCATCTGCATACTCCATTCAACCCTGTGGGCACAGAGACTGTCACACCCGCCGTACCAGGTAAGCAAACACTATCACATCCACAATAACATGTAGGAGATCTTCCCGTGAAGTACTTGTTGTTCCGCCTTTTGTAAAGCCAGGCAGCAATAGAGGCCTCAATGTAAGATAAATTAAATTAATCCTACCGTGAGACCTCATTAAGCAGCAGATACTTAAAAATACCCCCAACCACATTTCACATAAATTGTCACACTTGGCAGACCATTTTGACACATTATGTATATAAAACAACCACAAATAAAATAAATTGCAGTTTATTCGACTGTTTGTGTTCAGCCTGGGATGGTCAAGATGAAATACACTTGTTTTTTTTTCCCTAATTATTGGCCCGGTAGGACGCAACCATTTTCTTTTTCAAAGTTTTATACTATGTTGATGATTATATGGATAGGTCAATTGGCAAAAGTAGGGGTGGCAAGACATTTGGTGAAGGTTGCAACTCGTATATGTGAATGTGTGTGTGTGTGAGTGTGTGTGTGTGTGTACTGTACATTCCTGGTAGTTCTGCCTGAGTACAAAATTGTGTATCTAATCTTAATCTGACCTGCGAACTAGCGCCACTAATACAGATGAATCAATGAAAAATAAAGACGTGAACAACAAGATAGAGCAAAATTGACGAGAGATAAACATTACCTGCAACTCAGTACTCAGTATGGCGGAAGTAATGGTGAAGACGCATTCAGTCCCGGACAATTAATTATCTGCGCACCAAAAAAGCATTAGCTAATCAACTCCACACGAAAAAGTTTCAGTCGACAAAACGTCACTTTAACAACGACACAGAAAGCAATGTGGGTCAAAACAATCAAGGGGAGGTACCTGAGCACACCATTTAGCAGTATAATACAAACGAATTGAAATATTAATAGAGAACTGTTTATTAATCTGGACTATGAACGAGACGTAACTCACCACTGTACATTCCTTTTACAGCTAACTGACCATACGGCGGGAAGCAGGCGCCACGCTGTGTGCTCTTGCGTCACTTCCGCCATAAATTTATAAAGTTTAATTTCATACATTTTAATTTTACAAAGTTTCCACTCCGTGATACTTGTACAACTTTAAAATAGAAAAATTTATAAATTGTCATTTATTATTTCTTCTACTGCTTTGTCCTTGCCATCAGTGTACACGTCAGGAGGCGGTGGCTTGAGCTCCGGTTTCGACGGCGATGGCAAAAAAAAGTTGACCAGTTACGACACATCGCTGGGTTTTAATTCTGGCATGACCACGTGCCCCTCCTGCCAGCAGCAAGTCATGACGAACGTTTCTTACAAACCCGGGACATATGCCTGGCTGATGACTCTCCTCTTTTTCTGCCTCGGGTGAGCGACAGCTGCATACACAACACAGAAACTCACAAATACGGATGAAAAACGCATCTGAGTGGACGTTGTGTTTTCTTATACATCACAAATGGTTAAATGTGTCAGATTATTATCAAACAAGAATACATACTACTAATAATAATGATTATGATTATGATTATTATTATTACTTTATTTTGGGTGTGTGTTGCAGCACATGCCAGAATCCCCCTTTGACAGGGTGCTACTTCACATCAGGCAGCTTGCCATGGCAACAACACAGATTCTGTATTCCATTTTATGTGTGTTCATTGCCCGTCCACTATACATTGTGTAGAGAAAATGGGTCTCATGTAAGTAACTAGCAACAGTGATTCAAGCATGTACTAAAAATTAATTTAAAATCAAATATATAGTTGTTTGCATTTTTTTTAATCTTACGGAGCCCGACATTCCAGAGTAGTTCACGATACAACTGTATATCCAAGAGACTATGTTTAGAGGTCAGCGTGAAATGCTTGCCGCATCAACTGTTACACCTGCCGTCTCTGATTAGTTGTTTTTCCTCGAGTGCCAAACAATGCGTGTGTGTGTGTGTGTGTGTGTGTGTGTGTGTGTGTGTGTGTGTGTGTGTGTGTGTGTGTGTGTGTGTGTGTGCAGGTTGGTGCTGTGTTGCTGCCTGCTTCCCCTATTCTTCAAAAGATTCAAGGATGCGCACCACACGTGCCCCCGTTGCAATAGACTGCTGCATGTGGAGAAGAGGAAATGCTGTGACTGAGCCCCGCACGGCACACATATACACACACACACTGGTCAAAATAAGACCCCCACCCCCACCTACCCCTGCACCAAATTGACAACAACAAAGTCACTTATTTCTATGGGTGACCCTGCCTGAGGTGGCATGATTTTTCCATCTTAAACAATGGTGCAATCCCATTCACCCGCTCCCCATGCACTTCTTCCTCCTGTTTACAGCAACAAACAAAATCTCCTCTTTTGTTTAGCGCTGACATCATTGATTATCATATACATAGTTCAAATGAAGGACTGTACATACATATAAACCTATTAAGTGTTTTAAGGAATCAATCATGTGAAATTGAAAAGTGGAAATTGTCATGTTTGTGCCACCATGCAATAGACTAAGCTATTGAATGAGTGTATGTCTCTCTTTATGAAGGAATTAAAACTGATAAAAGATGCTCCCTGTAAAATAGCATTTTTTCCTGATGAAAACTGAAGTTTATAACAGAACCACCTGTTATATTTAGAATGTTGTCACATGAATCATATTGCAAATATGGGAAGGGGTGGAAAAATTCTCCTGCAAATAATGTGAAATTTGACATTTTTACAAGGAATACTGACACATCCGTGAAATCCTCCTGCTTTAGCTTGCACCGCATATAAAGTTTAAAATAAAATAAATAAAAACGTGTGCTCAGTGCTGTACATACTAATCCAGAGACAAATGGTTGAAAAATGTGTCTGAACAGGCGTACAGTCCTCCATCTCGTCAAGAGTGGAAACTGCTACATGTACTGTGGGTCATCCAAGTCTTTATTTTATGTCTTTGAGTTTAGGCTTGCTGTAATTATCTTAGGCACGGGTGGCAAATTCATTTTCAATGGGATGCCACATCACAGTTATAGTTTCCTTCAGAGGGAACTTTATGACTTTAAAAATCACATCGCGATAATCACCCCACTACATGATTACTAAAACACAATTGCCCTTTTCAACACCTTATTCTATTGGAAATCACAAGTCAGGAAAATTGTCAACGAAATATTCAAGTTGACAACTATTGTTCGGTTTACGTTAAGGGGTTTGGTGCAAAACATATTTGCAACAAATGAATTTAGCAAGGACCACTTTATTAGCTGAAGTGGTCCTTCTTTTGTCCCAAAATATGATGAACCCATTGACATGTGGGCGGGGTGCTGCCTGGATTGGAATATTTTCAATTCAGGCGAAGCACCGTCGTGACTTCAGACGGCATATCCGATAGGAGGGATGATGACGGAGTGAGTTCAGAGTGTATCGCGATTTTGGCAATGTTGTAGGCGATATTGAAGAAAAGCACGGCGAAATTTGAAGACGCCTGAAGAACACTTCAACGCGATCTCCAAAGAGCTGGAGCTCACAGAGGAGCCTGATCCACGTGTTTTAGATGTTTCCCTCCTCCAACATACGTGATCCAAACGATCGGGATTGTTATCTGGCTCCTGCAATGCTTGCTGATAAGCTGATCGAAAATATGCAGGAAAAGGGGCCCTCGAGGACCGCGGGTTGAGACCCTCGGTCGAAGCAAAGTGGCCGCTTTTCTCTGGCAACAATCTGTGTGAAGTCTCGCAATGAGGTTCAGTTGATCAATAGTTTGGCGTCGTCGAGGGAAAACAACACACTTCGCTTCCAAAAGACTTTCTCAGAACAGACCAGCGATTCCCATTTATGTGCTGCGAGAGATCATGAGGTGAGTCACAGGAAATTGTCCGATTTCGCTCGACTGGGGAACATTGGACGAGAGCGCCCCTTTTCACTCCTTTTGCATATCCATCTATAGATTTCGCATGGATATTTATTCGCATCGTGGTTGTATTGAGAGGAGAAATTCTTGGACATACAATCAAAACGTGTTCCCATAGTGCACTGACTCAACAAAAAAAAATGCTAAATTAGCCGATGGTAAGAAAGGTAAAGAAATTAAAGAAATGGCCCTGATGTGTTTTTTTTTTCAGTTGAGAATTTTTGAATGTCAGAAGTTTGTGGTTTTCAGGCTGGCACAAGAACGCGTTCGGCACAAATCATTCATAAACGAAGCCCACGAATGGATGAGTGAATGCTCTTCGGTCCGTGTTACTCCATGTCGCTTCTGCCTTTGTTTCCCGTTTTACAATTACAGAGATCGTCACTAATCTGTCAAGATCTCGAATGTGGCTGACCGTCTCTTCGGTCGTTCCACAGAATTGGTGCCATTTGCTTGTTGGAATTCTCTCACAACAAACCTCCATTTGTGTTGTTTTTCAACTCCAAATCCAAATATTCATCCCTTCATTGTCCAAAGATTGTGACATTATTTTCAAATGACAGTGCAGAAAATGCAGGCTGCAAAGTACGAGCGGCAGGTGGATCGTTTTCGCCGATCGGCGGGGGTGAAATGCACTGATCGACATACTGTATGCCGATCACATACTTTTCTGTGGAAATCGGACGATCACGATCTGCGGTCGACTGTTCGGAGCACCGATAGTAAAGATGCCTGAAAAATAGTTCAGGCACAGTCACAAAGACTAATTGTACTTCTTCATGCTTGCCATGAGTGTCTTGAGACAAATGTTTGCTTGTTTGTCTGTTTGTTTTCTCAGATGTTACATCAACTCGTGTTATTGAGTATTAGTCTGTGGCCCTGAGGTTCCATTTTGGGGCCCGAAGAGCTTCAAATCCGGCGGTTTCGACAATGTGTTTTACGGCACACCTCAGCAGGAGCGGAACAGGTTTGACGTCCTTTTCAATGAGTGACACATACACACACTCCTTCAATAATCAGCCAGAGACCAAAAAACAAAGTAGAAATCTTTTCTAGTTACGCCTTGCGGCCCGGCTCGTGCATATCAACGTCTTGGCGAAGAGGGCGGGGCCTGAGGGCGTGTTGAGGGTGAGGCAAATGTTTTTGAGGTACAGGTGACAAAGCTCCACCTGGCAGCAGTGTTGTGTCTGGACTGTCGATAGAGGTGGTTCGTGGCTGGAGCTCGCTCACAACTTTGCACAGTGACACCAGCGCCTGGACCGGGTGAGACCCTCACTGATGGATCGTTCTCTCTTTATGGATATGTCAGGACTCAGGGGTCAGGATTTATACTGTCAGATGTTCAAAAAAGGGAACTGATCATTGTCTTTGAAGGGCTTGAATTTTGTTTTGTTGATAATCAAAAGACTGGCACATCTGCGGGATGTTCTGATGTACAAAATAAAATTAGATTGGCCAGTGAAGAAAATTAACAATAGATCCAAAGTGGTTTGGTTCTCGGTGGATGGAAAGCTTTTAAATCTCCCGCGTGGCTGCTAAGTAGCTAATTTTATCCAGATTTTAGAATGTTGGATGATCATGTTCAATAGTTCTCTTTTTAAAGAGAAAGTCAGGTGTCTAATCCAACTCAGACTTCACTTGCGATGAGAAGCTAAAGCAGAGAAACAGTTGTGCAGGCGAACTACCAGACGGAATGCTTCTCGTTTTGTATCCGGCGCACCAATCAGAACCTTGTGGCTGATGCGATCATGCAATATGAGCATGTTATTTATTTTATTATATATATATATATATATATATATATATATATATATATATATATATATATTTTTTTTTTTTAGGGAGGTTAGTTTCTTTGGGTTATAGTGGCAATACAAACAATGTCATTGTGTTCTGAAGATGCAGGCAAAACTTTAAGGCAGCACAGCAACACAGTAGTTGCGGTCGCCTTGCCAAAGAATGGAGGCATTCTTGTAATACAACAGACTGAATATATTCTGCAGTGCAGGAGCGAGAATGTTCTGAATTGCAAAACATCAGTTGACTTATTCAGTGGATTAGTTGTACTGTTAAAACAGAACAATGGATTTGGTGTGAAGCGGCATTTCCTTTTACTGGGTACGGAAATTGTGTTTTTATTTCATTCTTATTGTTGTTCAACCAAATAATAATGCAATTTTAAGGGAATTCTCACACTCAAAAACGGATACGTTCTAATTCTATGGTCGCATGTCTGATGGGGTCACCAGAAAATGGCATTTTCCATTTATGACATTAAAGTAGTGGCTGACTCAGTCACAGAAGTCCAGGGTTCGAGTCCCCCTGCGGCCTTCCTGTGTGGTGTCTGCATGTTCTCCCCGTGCCTGTGTGGGTTTTCTCCGGGTACTCCGGTTTCCTCCCACATTCCAAAAACATGCATGGCAGGTTAATGGAACACTCTAAATTGTCCCTAGGCGTGAGTGTGAGCGTGGATGGTTGTTCGTCTCTGTGTGCCCTGCGATTGGCTGACAACCAGCTCAAGGTGTACCCCGCCTATTGCCTGAAGACAGCTGGGACAGGCTCCGGCACACCCCATGACCCTTGGGAGGATAAGCGAATCAGAAAATGGATGCATTGATGGATGGATGGACTTTTTTGCCTTGTATTATAAACCCATCTTTTGCTGTGAAGACATTCTTAATTCGGCAACTACCCACGTCTGCCTTCTCCTTTGTGAGCTGATTAAAAGAAGTCGGAGGATTATGAACATTCCTCCTTCTGTCTTGTTCGACCAGCACAGATGCCACACCTTTGGCTGAGGTGCGATGCCTGTGACTGCTGAAGTGACGCGGGTGGAGGGTTGTGACTCTTGTTGTCGTGACCACAGAATGCAGACTGACTTGATCATGAACTTTTTCTTTTACAAGTCATCCACATTTTTTCAACACAGCAGCTTGGCTAGTTGTGAACTTTTAAGTTCAGTTTTTATTTTCAGTGTATCAAAAAGAGGTTGAAAAGTGCTTCCATGGGCCCATAACTGACAGCCCCATTAGAAAATTGTATTTTCAGTATATTCACAGGGTTCCCCAAATCTCATGCTGTGATCTCATGCAGGGATTTTGATTCAATTCAAACAAGCCCTTTCGTCATTATCAGCAGCCGCCTAAATCATCTGCTGACGAGAGCATCCGCACGGGGGCTGTGTGCCCCTATGCATCCCGTCAAAGCCCGTCCTTTCATCTCTTGCGCCTCATGGAATCTCACCACAATAATGTACCTCATGTCGCTTGCTTCTGGTAAGAAGCGAAGAGTAAGGGAGCAACCAGTCAGCCGAGATGAGCTGTGTCAGCCACAAATTACACACAGGAACACATTCACTGGCTTGTAAAAAAAAAAAAAAACATATATATATATATATATATATATAAAGAGAGAGAGAGAGAGAGAGAGAGAGAGAGAGAGAGAGAGAGAGAGAGAGAGAGAGAGAGAGAGAGAGAGAGAGAGAGAGAGAGAGAGAGAGAGAGAGAGAGAGAGAGAGAGAGAGAGAGAGAGAGAGAGAGAGAGAGAGAGAGAGAAATAGCCAAACACGAGAGAGCGGGGGATTCAAACCGGAAACATTTTGAATTGTATTTAGTGATTAAACTGCCGTCCACCCATGATCTAATTGATGATTGAAATTATCCTTTTAATGGAGTTCTGAAGGGCTCAAGACAAACTTTTTCAATCTTTGGTCTCTTACGTTCAAGCTCCATTATTCACGGGTTTTTTACACCCTCTACAGGCAGAAAGCGTCGTTACAAAGCAGGGAAGTTAAAGACGATCTTATTCTCTTCTTTTCTCTTGCAGCACCATGGCAACAGATGTAAAACATCCCCCTCCCTTCACTATTCCAGGTATGCTCAGCATCAACACCATCGTTGTCGTCTTCGCATTTTTCATCAATGTGCTGTTTTTTCTGATTTAGTTGACGCACCTGCGCCCTACAGTCTGCATACGCCATTCCACCTTGTGGCCACAGAGACCATCACACCCGTCGTACCAGGTAAAGACACGCTGTCACATACACAATCGTTTCCAGAGAATGTAATTGTCAATTAATAAATACATACATATATACAGACATACATACATACAGTGGCGGCTCTAAAAAGTTTTCTCGTTTTAATGTTCGGTTGCCTATCATTCATTAATCCTTCTACGCCGTTGTCCTTTCCATCAGTGAGCAAAACAACCGTGACCAGTTACAACACAGCGCTGGGTTTTCATTCTGGCATGACCACGTGCCCCTCCTGCCAGCAGCAAGTCATGACCAATGTCTCTTACAAACCGGGGAAATATGCCTGGCTGATGACTCTCCTCTTCTTCTGCCTCGGGTGAGCGACAGCTGGACACACAACACACAAATATTCATGAAAAACACACCTGAGTGGACCATGTGTGACCTTAAAATATATCAGATTATTAGCAAACAAGAATATATTATCCATCTATCCATTTTCTAATCCGCTTATTCTCTCAAGGGTCGCGGGCGTGCTGGAACCTATCTTTGGGCAGTAGGCGGGGGTACATCTGGAACTGGTTGCCAGCCAATGGCAGGGCACACATAAACGAACAACCATCCGCACTTGAGACAAATTAATGATTTGTAGAGGGAAAATAGGCCTCATGTAATAAACTAGCAGCTGTGCCTCAAGCATGAACCAGCAATTAATTAAAAATCAATTACATCCTTTATTGCATTTTTTAAATTTAACAGAGGTGGATATTCCGGCATAGTTTCAGCATATCTCCCAGAGACCAAGGTCAGAGGTTAGCGGGAAATGATTGACACCTCAACTGTCACACCTGCTGTGGCTGATTAGTTGTTTTTCCTCGGGCGCCAACCAATGCGTGTCTTGTGTGGGTGGTGGTGTGTGTGTGTGTGTGTGTGTGTGTGTGTGTGTGTGTGCGCAGGTTGGTGCTGTGCTGCTGCCTGCTTCCCCTATTCTTCAAAAGATTCAAGGATGCGCACCACACGTGCCCCCGTTGCAATAGACTGCTGCATGTGGAGAAGAGGAAATGCTGTGACTGAGCCCCGCCCGACACACATATACACACACACTGGTCAAAATAGATACATCCCCACTCACCCCCTGCACCAAATTGATAACAACAAAGTCACTTGTTTCTATGGGTGAACCGGTTTGAGCTGGCATGGTTTTTCCATCTTAAACAATGGTGCAATCCCATTCATCCATGCACTTCTTCCTCCTGTTTACAGCAACAAAGTCTCCTCGATTGTTTAGCTCGGACACCATTGATTATCATATACATAGTTCAAATGAAGGATTGTACATACCATTTAAGCATATTAAGTGTTTGAAGGGATCAATCATGTCAAATTGAAAAGTGGAAATTGTCGTGTTTGTGCCACAATGCAACAGAGTCAGCGATTGAATGAGTGTATGTCTTTCTTTGTGAAGAAATTAAAACTGATAAAAGATGTCATGGGCAGCACAAAGTTTGACCCCAATAGCTACATGATTTTTTTTTTCTTGCGGAAAAACGGAGGTTTATCACCTGTTATCTTTCGAATGTTGTCAAATATATCATCGCAAGTATGAAATTTTCTATATTGTGCTCTAGGATCCTTTTGAAAAATAATTATGGAACAGACTCTTAAAAAGGAAAATGAATACATATACAAAAATCTTACATAAATCACACAGTAAGACGACTCCGCTGCACTATCGCTAATTATTTTGGACCCGTATTTGTCAAATAAAAATAGTCTGCCAGTGTGCCATAAATTGCAACCCCCCTCCACATTCACACAGGCATTTTATTTGCCTGAAATGCAATTAGTTTATTTATAGCCTACACATACTTGTATGAAATAAACATTCAGTGGCTTAAGTGCGTTGGCAATTTGATGAGGGGTTTTACTTAATTCAAATGTATTATGGGCCTCAATAAGGGATGCATTTTTGAGAATGAGTGGTGTTCATCAGAGGTCGAGTCACCGTGGCCAAGCACTTGGTATCGACAAGCAGCAGATCAAGCAGTATTTTGTAGAAAATTTTATTCAACATACATTTTCCAGCAAAAAGTCAATATACAGGAATAGTTGTCGTACACTGCTGCTACACTGAGGATTTTCAATTGGAAAAAAAAAAGACGTGATTCTGTCGGTCATCTTTGTACTGCACTTTGAGACGAGACAAAACAGATGCAGTTAGTCTGGAAAACAAATGCAAATGTAACAGAATAGAATTGTCAAATGTTACATCAGGAACGCAAAGGGGTTAAAAAAAAAAAAAACTACACACAAGAAATATGAACAACTGGCTCCTTCCGTACCCCACAACATAGGCGAGTGTCTTTCAATTTTACATGTTGGTATTTTTAAATATACAATTCATAATTGTCTTTACAGAGCCACACTAAGCACTGATGCGCATTCCATCTATGCTTAAAAAAATCATTGGGGATTTAAGGGTTTCTTACAATGCTGGTTTTTGTCCTTTACACAATCCTCAAATGTGCCAGCTCTACAAGTCTGCTGCTCCCTACCACACAAGCACAGTGGGCTTACTGCTCCCAACCACCAGGGGGAGACAGAGCAGATGTGAAAGGGATGGAAGGATGAAGAGAGAACTGCTTTGGTGCTCCATGGGAGGAATGACTGAGAAAGCGGCCAACTATCAAACTGGAGAAACTCAGAGACCGCGTGTCACTCAAAAATCCAAATTGACAAAACATTTTCCGGTCCTGAGCTCTCTGACGTTAAGTGCCAGCGTGCAAGATGAAATACAGACAAATATCCTCCTCATTTTTAACGCCGTTTTATTATTTTTTTTCTTTAAACATTTGCAGTGGATTCTTATTACTATATCATAATACAAGTTCTGCAGAAAAAAAATAGCCTCCCAACAAAACTAAGTGAGACAACTGTGCGTAAATGTGGAAATAATTCATTGTTGCGCTAAAAAGGCGAGAGCAGAAAACGTAAGAAGCACACTCGGACAGCGTAAAAAGATGGATGCCAACAGCTCCCAGCTGGTTTGTTGTGGAGAATTTTTTTCGTCCTCCCTGCCAGTTAGTCCTCGCAAATGTACTTCTACTCAACTCTCCTCACAGCAGCAAGTCTTCATTTAAAATCGACCCACCCAAAAAAAAAAAAATTGAGGCAGAGCAGGGAAAATTAAGTCTAGAGCTTTTATGTATTTTTATATAGATATATACATTATAGTGTAGTATTTTATCTTGTGTCACACTTCCCCACATATTAAAATCCAAATAATTTCTGCCACTTCCTGGCAACACCACAGGCAGTAAACAGTTAAGACCAGCCGGGAAAAGAGAGAGAGAGAAAAAAAAATGTTTAAGGGAGTGGCAAAAAAAAAAAAAAAAAAAACAAAAAACAAAAAAAACAAAAAACAAAAAACAAAGTTGCAGTTGCAGTTTGTTGAGTTGAAGGAGAATCCATCAGCTGCAGCAAGATGGGCTGAAGACAAGAGCCAGTGCAGAGCTCGCTTGTGTCCACGTGGGGGGCTGAAAGTGATGAGCACACCATACTAGCGCCCACATTCTCACACGCACAATCAAGCGCACACTTCCACACGCGCACACACGTGAGGTTGGTTACAGTCAGTTATGGTGTGAAGTAGGCGGGGAGGAGGAAGAGGAGGAAAAAGAGGAAGGACGGGCTGCTTTAGTTGTGGATTTTGATTGCTTTCTCCAGGTAGGTGTAGCGACCTCTCTTTGGAGCTTTGTTGAAATGATCCAAGCCCAGCCAGGGACGCGGGTGTGACATGTTTCCTGCGATGCGGCAGAGGGACACACATCACACATTATACACACATGCACGCATACGGCACAGTGCCGGCAGCATTTTTGTTGTTTGGGGGTCTTTTCGATGGCTACAGTAAATTTGAAGTTTGACTTAAAAATGTTTTCCACAAACAGCTATTAAGGACAAAAAAAAAAAGGCCCAACCGTATGATAGAATTTCTAATTGCTTGAAATGTGTGAATGGACATCGGGCTCAGGAATGTTATCGTCTGGAAATGACCTACTTGGCTTTTAGAAGTGCGCCCGCCATGAAGAAACGCTTCTCTAGTGTTGTTGTCTAGGAAGCGCGCTGACATGAGTAAATACCTGGCTGTGGTTCAAAGTCCTTCAAGTTGACCTCATACTTGTCTTCAGTGATGTACTGTTGTCTGCCCATCATCACGATGGCAAACTTGAACTGCAGCAAGGAGAACACAAGAAGCACGTCACATATAACTGCCCAAAAGCATAGCACGCGTACTGGAGAAGAACACTTGTCAGATAGTCGAGTAGCCCCAAGTGAGATGAGATGTACCTTCTCAAATTCTTTCTCTTGGATCTCCAACATTGTCTGGATCCTCCTCATCACCTCCCGAAAAGACTCACCCTGTCGGGAGGGGAGAGACAATTGAGAAATGGACAATGGCGCCTGCGCGCGCACGAGGCAAAATAGCGCAGACTCAAACCTGTCGGATTTTGAGCAAGAATGGGATCCCAAACGTGCCAAAGACTTCCTTATGGAAATGAGCGACGGGGATGAGCAGCTCGCTGTCCTTGTCCAGATCGACCTGGTCCACAGGAATCTCCTGGACGACCAAGACCAACAAGAGTGAGACCAGCCATGGTGACCACCAGACAATTGTAACTTGCGCAAATGTGTCATTTCAGAAGCGTAAATCAAAGTGGAAGCCCTTCACACAGCTCACGCCCAGACACTCCCAAAAAAATTCCATGGCATCCCACGCGAGCCCAACCAGGCCACGCCTCTTAAAGGAACGTGCATGTAGACGCGCTACCATATTTTCTGTACATTTTAAGCGTGAGTTTAAATTTTTGTTTTCATAAGTTTAAACCTACGGGACAAGTAACACTAAAACGGTTGAATAGATCCAAGTAATTGCATTGGGAGTGTGTTCAACATGCAGCGGGTCACAGACACACAAAACATTTAGCGCACGCTGAAGAAAGTAACATCGTAGGAGTGGTCAATATGCACGAGAAAAAAAGTAAAGAAAGCCTAGACAGACAGGTGCACATACATTACCTCTATTCTGAAGGTGCGACTGGCAGCCGGAGATAAACATTCTAGTAGCTCGTCTTCCTGGTGAACCCCGATGATTTTATAGCTTACTATCTCTAACAGCCTGTGGGGGAGGGAGGACAGACAGAAGGTGGATTAATGCCCCGCACACCATCATACAAAACAGGGCCCAGACAAGGAAAAAAAAAAGGGGCCACACACTAGTGAGGGCGAAATACCTGAGCTTCTCAGAGCCCTTTTCAGAGAGCTCCACGGCCTTTTTACATTCATCCAACAGGTCGCGCACGCAACCGTGTTTGTCAGGGTAGAGAGTGATCTCCTGCAGAGAGCAGGGAGGGGTGTACCATCCACATCAACACATCGGGAGGGTTGTTTGTGTGTGCGTGCTTACCTCCTCTCTGAACTGGCTGTTGAGCCATATGGATTTAAAACTCCGCCTGTTCTCAAAGTCGGTGATCTTCATTTTCAACTGCAAGTGTGTGTGCAAGGGGGGAGAGAGAAACCACAACATTCAATTCATGACGATTGTATGTTGAGTTTTACATTCTGTCAATTTGACACATTTTGCTTCTCTGGCCATGATAAAAATTTCCCTTTTGATCTTAATTTATGACAAGCGGTGTGGTTGTGTGTGAACAACAGTTGGCACCTTTGAATTGAAAAGTTGCATCTATCTAGGCCAAAAAAAAATAAAATAAAATAAAATCATGTGGGGGTTTGTCACCATCTTGGAGCCTCGACAGGCAATTCAAAACCTTTCTGTGATGTTAATCACTTGCGATTGGCTTACTTACAACAGAGCAGGGACACTTTACTACATGGACGTTGATTTCTAATTCTGTGATGATTTGGCGCAACACTTGTAATTTTGTTCAATAATTCATAACACTGTCAGTGGTGCAATCGGAATTTATTGAAAACAGACGTAAAAGCGCGGGCGTGAGCACAAGCTAACAAAACACGTCCAAACCCGAGTTGTATCTGAACACAAGATTGACAACAACGGTGCGGAATTGAGCTTTACAACTCCAATTACAATTTCAAATGTGGCAAAAACAGTCTCAGTCAGATACCAATATGATGTATTTTGCATGCGTGTCCTCCACGTTTGGTGCGCTTGGTTGTAAAGAGGAGTGGAAAACTCTGGATCTAAGACAAAAGAAAAATCTGAATTACAAGTGGGACAATTCAGCATATCAGCATTCAAATATCTATTCCAGGGCACAGCTTTAGTCCTCCTAACAATAAGAGTCATCACATTTGCCATCAATATTCTTCCCTGGAGCTCTCAAGTAGTGCCCGGTCTTTCCAACGCAACAATGGGATAGCCTAGCGGCATCTTTTTATATTCGCCTCATCATAAAAACAGCATGGCATCATTTGCAATGTGACAGTCATAAATAAGCATTTATCAGCCAATTCAACAAACCAACAAAAGTGTTTTTGACGGACAGCTAGACAACTGACAGCTAGAAAAATAAAAGAACCATCTACAGCGACTGCGGACAATTATGCGTAAGTGTCAGTTTAATAAAAGATAGCACGGAATGAAATTGCAAATAACTGATGCCTAATTGTGCTTACCTAGTCAAGGTGGTCCGCATCCCTTCTTGCGTGGCACTTGGGAGAGCACAGGGGTTTGCCGATCTTTAGCTCCGTGAGGTGACCTCTTTCTCCTCTTCGTTCAAGGTCTCTTTTGTGACCAAGTTCAAGGCCTCGGTGAGATCACAGTGATCTCTTCCTCTCTTCTCTTCTCACGTGTCTTCTTGGAGGAGTGATCGCTTGTGAGAGTCTCATCCAAGAACTGTATGATGGCTTCACTTGCGTCCAGTCAAGCCTCGGTACATGGCAGTTGGTTTGAACACGAGCAGCGACACTCGACGACAAACTTCTCTTGCTGACTTGAACCATGTTTGTGAATACACTTGCTCGGCCACAAAGATGTCCAGGGCTAAAATTGAGGAGCTGAAAAGGCGCTTTCATATTCTTTCTCCGGGAGGCCATCCTTTGATCAACATAAACAACGGAGGCACACCCGCACTCACACAAAATGTCAACTCTTCTACAGCAGCCCCAACTCACTAAGATAGTTATTCATTGTATTAAAGGTTTTGATTCGCAGGCTTTCTTCAGTGTAAAAGCAACAGCATCTGCATCAAAGCAAGCCGTTTTCTATTTAGGCTGCCACCTTGTGGTTTAGGGGGGCAAGACACTTAAAACCAATTGCCCTTGTATTTTTAAAGGGTAATCAAAATGCTGCAAAGTGCCATTTAGGGTCCAAGGTGCCTCGAGGGTTAAATGTGTTTGTATCATTTGTGTTTCAAGACTTGAAAAATGAAACGCCACAAAAGCTTTAAAGACATGCCTAGGGAGTATTTCATGGGGTTGTTTTTGTACTGCATAGTTCAGTTATTGCGGGGGTGACTGAAGCGTAACCCATGCGATGTAGGGAGTGTTACTGTACTCTAAACCAAAAACAGTGATGGAATAGTGCGTCAAAGCCATTTAGTTTATTAGTTCATTTCTGTCATGTCTGAATTTGTATTGTTTCTTTAATATTTTTTTTCCCCATTTACCTTAAACTTCAAATGAGTTATTTTTAAAAACATGGCTATGCATATTAACTTAAATTGGAACCCTGCTGAGGAGTTCTTGAAAAAATGATGTGTAATTCTGGCACAAATAAAGCGCAAAGAATCCTCAATTGAGACCAACAAGACCAGCTGCCAGGATGCATTTGAAACTTGAATTCCAGCTTCAACTCTGGCCTGCGAGCACCTGCGGCCTACGGACCACTTTCTAACACAATGTGCACCTGGACTAAGGAAGAGCGAGATCAACAAAAGAAGTAAGAGGTCACACCTGCTGATAGTAGAGTTTCTTGGGCTGCCGAGGCTTAAAGAATTGCAGCAGGTCCCGCAGCGTTCCCTCATAGTTGTGTCTGAGAGGATTCCCTGGACCGTCCCTGTACCTGGCCACCACACCACCAGGCAGGGGGGAGGATGGAGAAAAGGGAGAGGGTGGAAAGGAGGCAGAGGCCAAGGGAGGGAGGGAGTGAGGAAGGGAAGAAGATCCAAGTGGGGAGAAAACGTGCAGGGAGGCAGAAGAGGTGGGAGGAAGAGGGGAAACAACAAAATAAGGTGGGGGGGGACAGGTTATGCAACATTTCGACGGCATGTCATCAAAGTCAACCGTGTCAATGACAGCACATGCAGGCCTCTATGATTGTGTGCGCGCGAGAGAGACGAGCCTCCTACCCCTGTGACTTAAAGAACTGCAGCAGCATGGGATCTGTGTTCAACCTTTGGGCTACCGTCTTCGCCACCTGACACCAAAACAAAACGGCCATGTTACTACGAGCGGGGAACACTTCGTCTCCTTTCGTCTAAACTCAGTCTTTCATGTCACTTTGACAACAGCAGTGAGAAAGACCAATGTTGTAATTCTGCCTCACTGCACCACGGCAGTCAAATTGAAGTCTCTCTCCCTCTCCCTTAGCAGAGCAATACCTGAAAATAGTTCATGCGGTTGGAGAGCGTGACCACAAAGCCCGGGTCATTGTGGATGGTCTTGTCACAAAAGATGACATCCACTCGGTAGTAGAGATCCCGGAAATATTCCTTGGCCGTTGGTAGCTCGCTGCTGTCGTTCTCGGGGTCGTCCCTGGATCATCGAAGGAAAATGACAGCAGGATTTGTGGTTTTGTTGGTTTGGTGTAGAAAACCAAAAAAACTGATCACACGCCGCTTACTTCTGGAAGACAATGATGTCCCCATCCATGAGTTCATCCAGGGCCTTGTCCAGAGAGACATCGTAGTCCTGAATCCGCTCCGTTAGATTGGGCTTAACTTCCTGTAACGAACAAGGGATTGTGGGACACGTAGTGCTTTGGAATGGCAAAATTGAGGTGTTGACTATGCTGTCTCGGTGAGAAAATTCAATGCTATAAATGTACAAAGGCAGCGTGCACAAAAGTAGCAAAGTGAGAAAGCGTGGAACGTGCCAACAAGTGCGAGCAACAGAAATAGATCACCTCATAGAGGATAAGGCTAGTTTCCTGCTGAAAGCCTGCTCGCTCACACATGACTGGTAGCAGGTCTCCTGGTAACACACGGAAGAGAAGAAATAAATATCGCACCCTTTTATAGACGTTTTCTCGATGAGGCTGCTACTGACTTATTTTGCAGGATATAGGCGTGTAGATATGTCCACAATAATTTAAGCTTCTTGTTTTCGGGTCATACATCTTCAAGAACAACATGACATCACCTGAAAAGACAAAAGAGACGAGAAAATCACAAAACAAACTGCATTCCAAATTTTAATGAGATTTTATTTCCATCTTGGAGCTCAAGTTAAAAGGCATCTATCTGTGCAATAATCAAAATTGAATGCCTATTGGAGTTAATTAGAATGTTGACATCCCAATGAGGAAGTCATACTTCTGGTCTTTTGCATCACAAAAGCATGAGACCGAGTCGGATGAGGACTGCATTTCGGTACTTACGATCTTTGTCAAACTTGGGTAGTGTGGCACCACTGGCTGCCAGTTCGGGATCCACCGTCTCCAGAAATATTGTCCATGGATTCTCGTTATCACTCAAGCCAATCATCTGAGGGGGAAAAAAAAAAAAAAAAAAATCAAAATCAAAAGTAAATAACAAGCCGCGATCAATAATCAAGAGAGTCAGGCCCTTCTCAATCACTCACCGACTTGTTGCAGTCAGCCTCGTAGTCGAGCATAGCGGGCCGCTTAGTTCCGTTGCTACGGGCTTGCATGGGCCACAGCCTCATTTGCTCCTGTGGGAAACCCTGTGCAAGCACACCAGTTTATGTTCGCAGTGCAATTGGAAAATCATAATGACGACACAACTGCAGGTGTCATGTAAACAGATTACACTGCTGACTAAACAGTGGCGTCTTTGTGCAGATAACTGCTGCCTTGTATTGTTCAGACGTCTGACGGCAGCATGTCTTCCTTTCACTCTGTGAATGAGGACAATTTGCTCGGATCGTGCTCTGAAAGTTCACTCTGACATTTCCCCTCCGGACATCAATAGAAGATGCTTTATTTGCTGGTCTAATGTATAGCAGATAAGTGAAGTTATCAACAAACAGGTTAAAGGTCCATTTGATGTTTGACAGCACTCTCTCATTTTCTCAATACACCAAAACATTCCATTTACATTTTTGTGCATTTAGGTATACACGCATTTCTGTCGCGCAACATGAACTGAGGGGAAATTGACAAGGTTTGAAATCCCAACAATAGACAGTGACCATGGATATCAAATTCAAGACGTGAAAGCAGCAGCAACGCAATAGGAGTGATAAAAATTGCAAAGGCTCAACATGAGTATTTTTTCCTCACCATGGTCTGGGAGAGGTTCTGGACAAACTCTTGCAGCGTGGAGCTCTTCAGGACTTTGAAGACTGTGTACTTCACCTTCTCCTCATCATACATGTCATTACCCTGATGACCACAGAACTGGTCCTCTGTCACCATCTGCGGGGGATATCGAACTGCGTTACGTCTCATGCAAATACGCTTGCAATTTTGAATCACTGAATGTTGTACAACAAACCACAACGGCAAATGCAAAGCAGATATAAAATGAAGTACTTTCTGCATAGCAGCGTCAAAACACAATGGCACAATATGGCAGGGTAATTTTTTTTTTTAAACTATCAGTTTTATTAACATGTTGCGCAGACGGCAATGCTTTTCCAACTATATCGCCACACGACCGCCAAGTCAGACGCTACTTTAGGTTTGAATATCCAGATTGACAAAATTGCAAAACCGCTGCAATGGCATTCATTTGACATTTGAGCCAAACTGATCGCTTTCAAAAGGCTTTACAGTCAACATCTGCTATTTGCGGGGATTAAAACTGTGCCGGCCCATGAAGTGCATGAAACACACACACACACACACACACACACACACACACTATATAATGTCTACAAAAAAAGTTCACCCTTCTACATATTACGGATTTTATGGCAATAGCGTTTCCCTCTCCATAGAGGCGCTGACTACAAAGCTCATCACCTCATAAGGAAAAAGGTTTCTTCCACAACATACAAAATACTGGGACCGCAGTATCCTCAGCTTTTTGTTATTTAAAAATATGTACAGATTATTTTACAGATATGTCTTGCCACATTACACAATGCTAAAAAATGTACAGAACTCTCACAAGTCAACATTGACATATTTGTAAGCCTGCGTACCAAAACATTATTATCCGTAAGGCCATGACGGGATGTTGCAGATAAGACCATGATGGTTATCCATCCAACAAAATCACCCCACTGTTTCTCTCGATTTCTAACAACTTAAAAACTCAGCATCAGTATTTCACAACACAAATATAGCTACCAAGATAAAATAAAAATAATACTTTTATGCAATAGCACATCATAGGGTTTGGGAAACGCTCGACTTAAAACATTCAATGTAAACAACTCATTCAAATCCACCTGCAAGCAGCTCGACTGTAATGAAGCCACGGCCATGAATTAGCCATCCAACACCAAAACATGCAGGTGTGTGTACACACCAATATTAGCAACAATGCGCTAACTAGCATCGAGAAATACCTTTCAGGTAATGGTGTTGAAACACATTCTGTACCACAATTTAGTTTCCAAATCCAAGCGGCATACAAGCAAATATACTCAGCAAGAAATGACAGTTGATCAGCCAATGCAAAACTCTCAAAATGGATAAAATCAGGGAGACTTTGATGCTTAATTCATATTGCACAAATGTAATATGAAACAGAATGCCATGTTTGAGATTAATAATTAAATGATGACGATGACGGATTTGGTCAATCCCCATGACACCATTACATTTCTAAAAAAAAAAAAGCATCAATTATGTGAACACTTCTAATTTCCCACCTGAACTTGCATGTATAGGTGAGCCTCTTGACGCTCCTTCCTCTTCTGTGCCTCCACCCTCTTTTCCTCCTGCAGACGCTCCACGAGCTGCTGGGGTATGTCCACGTCAGTCATGGGGAGGAGCACCTCACCTGGGATGAAGAGAAAAAGTGGGTGTTCGCTGAGCCCGTTACTTTCTCTCCCCCGTGTAGCCTTCCAAAATGACCATGGGAGATGTCCGCATTCCATAAACCCTGTGTTACGTACTCAGCTTGGACTCCCGTATGTACACCAACATGTACGCGTTGGTACAGTGGCGAACAGAGAGGTCGTCATCGTGCCCACCATAGTTGTGCTCAATGGCCTCCTCCTTGGTGCAGCGTGATACCACGTCGTCGTCAAACTTGCACCACTGCAGAAGAGCAAGCAAAAGGCAGGGAGGGTGGCAGGGGAGAAGAGAGCAGCACGGAGCACTTGAGACAACCATTAACGTATGTTAAGTGACTCAAGCAGATGTTGTCAAGCTTTGTTACAAGTCGTGCTGTGGCTGATGTTCTGCCACTTACATTGTGCTGGTGACAAGGCAAGAGAAGTATAAAGCAACGCTGCTTTTGAATGAGTAGGTTCCAAAGATGGACATCTAAGAGGCATACATCGAATGCTACTCTCTAAATCTCATTGATAAAATATATTTTTTGTGGCCAAACAGATGAGTATCCCCAACTGAATCTCAAATAGTGGAGCTTCATGATCAAACAACACAGCTTGACAGATACATCAGCCACAAACAATCCACACACAAATACAAAAGCACAGAATTTTGAGTGAAATGTATAAAAAAAATTGTTCTCACTATTGGTTCCTTGACACTCACTTTGCCGTCTCCTTTCGGGTTAAGATAGACGACGTAGTGACCGCCATGGTTGTCCCCGCTGTGCACGAGCACGGCGTGCAGGATGTAGTTGGCCGGGTCCTTGGAGTCTGGCTTCTGAAGGAATTCATCCAGAGGTAACTGATCTGGAAACTCAAACCTGTGGAAGACAAGAGGATGTATAGCTCTTAGAAATAACACTCGATTAAAAAAAAAAAAAAATCACAGAAAAAAGAGAGCAGAGTTAAAAAGGTCAACCAAGTAAAACAAGGCAACAAAGTGGGCCTTGACAAAAAGCTAAACTGCGCCTCAAAGGCTTGGCATTCTTCATTGTGTTCAACATTGTGAAACAGATGTGGGCAACTTTGACCATTTCCTGGGCCAATTATGTTTAATCCATACACCCTGCTCTATGGTTTCAAAGTAATGGCGGATATAGTCACAAGGCACAATGGATTGCTCCAATAACCATTCGGGGCAATATCTTGCTCTACAAGGTCACAGCCTGCTCTTGACAGAGAGGATATTGAATTGATAGCGCTGATGTGCATTAAATAAAGATGAAAATTATTTCCAAGTTCAAGTGTGTCGCAGTCTGATCTAATGTCTCTCATGAGCTGTGTGAATGCACGCCATGAAATTATCACTTACAAAAAAAAAAAAAAAAAAAAAAACCAAAAAAAAAAAAAAAAAAAAAAAAAACAACCAACAAAAAAAAAAAAAAAACACTTGAGAATGGCTTGAGGTGAGCCGGTCTCTTCTAACTACCGTACCTGTCATTAATCTTGATGTTTTGGTCAGTCTGCGGATCATACATGAACCTCATCAGTTGCAGGTGAAGGATTGGTGGGAAAGTGAGAAACTTCACTCCTTTTTCAGCTTCCTATAGACCAAACAACCAAGCAAGCACCTCGTAAGAACATTGCATCTTGAATTTTGACAAAAGACAGGCAGACCACTGAAATGTTCATCCACTAAAGAAAAGTTACATCATTTACTTGTGTACGCTTTTTTATTTTTTTGGGTGTTGCAGTAAAGGTTGGGAAACACTGGGCTGAAGGATTGCGTGGATGAATTTATTTGCAAAGGGCATGCTTGGGAATAAATGACTGTAACCAAGTGACAATTAAACCTTACCTGTAGGCCATGCTCTCCGGCATCATATTTGTTGTCTCCATCCAACTGTTCAGTTGCAACATAATCCTTAAATGACTCAAAAACTGGAGAAAGGAGAGTATTTGTAAGATGAAATATCAAACCATTAATGATGCAATATAGCATAAAGACTTAAGAAATCCATTCTTTTGTGTTTTTAAACCAACACAGACTGACCATGACTAATGTGATGTTTATATGCACGATTTGTTTTCTATTTAATTTAGGAATAACAAATAGGAGGACTGAAAAAGCCCCGACATCTTGGAACATAATGACAGAGACACTCTTCTTCGGGTTAAGAAAAGCGCAGGGGTTGTTCTGCTCATACTTACTGTTGTTCTTTCCTTTTATACTAAGCTGGATGTCATAGTAATCCTCTATTCGCTCTGATCGGTAGTCCACATGCTTGCACTGGATGTATGACTGAAGAGACACACAAACACTTATCAAAACCACAATGGCCTATATGCCCAAATTAACTGCAAATACAGGACTTCATATTTCTTAAATATCTATTTCCATGCATATTGAGCATCTAATTAACGTGTCAAATAAACCATACTCTCATGCCAACAGCCAAAATTGTTGAACTACTACTAAACTTCAGACATGACAACTGTCAAAGAAAATGAGGCGGAGCGAAAACATACCACCATCTTTCCCCTGAAGAGTTTCGGGATGGTTCCCTCAACACATGTGCCTTTCATTTTGTTCTCCACATTGTCAAGGAGCTGAAATACAAATTAACCCGGATTTTGGTTTCCAGCAATTAACACATATACACAGACCGTCTTGATTAACGCAGTTGTTTTGCGAGAACTCACCACCCTGCAAAGTTCCTGAACATCATGTTGCATGAAACTATCTAGAGTTTCCCATCTGCAAAAAAAAACAAACAAACAAAGAGATCTTTTAGGATAGCTACAGATGGCGACAGAATTTTCTCTGGTTTGAAGCACCACAGTGCCTCCGAGTTCATTCACTTGAACAAAAACACACTCCAAGAGATGCACACCTTGAGTACCCGCTTAGTTCTGCTGAGAACAACATTTCCATAATGCCGAGTAATATTATTGTTATTGCTATCGTAACTTACCACCTGACAGACACAGTTGTAAAATGTCCGTTCACTAACATGTGGCAACATTTCACATGAGATCACTAAGGCAGAAAAGTACATCAAGAATGGCAGAGGTCAATGGAGCAGTACAGGGCTTCTCAAGCTGGTGGCCACAAGATCCCCCGTGATATTGTACTTTAAAAACTATACGATGATTAGTGACGCTCGTTTGGGCAGTTGTGAATTTAAAAAGAAAAATAAAGGAAAAAGAAACAAAAAGAATGAAAGAAAGCTGACTCAGAGTAATGGTAATGTTTGGCTAAAGTATCAGGTTAGCCAGGTTTCTCCGAGAACAGAGTGAAGCATGTCACTCAATAAAGATACATTGTGACATACTGAGGCAACATACTAAATCAATAGACATTCAAGCAATGTGTAATATGAATACATTGCATAGAAAGATGTTCCACTGCATCTTACTAATGACAAGTACAGTATCCAAATAAAATGACTTTAGTTCGCGCTTTTTTGGACTATAAGTCACACTCGTTTCATAGTTTGGCTGGTCCTGCAACGTTTACTCCAGGGTGACTTGTATATATTCCAAATAGAACTCTGACTGGAACTCAGTCAAGTTGGGACTTTCTTTTGGTAGCTAGCAACACTTTTGGTGCATTGCTTCTACTAGCCAGATAGGGAGCGGTAATGCACCAAAAGCAACAGCCAACCTGCAAAACAAAGTACAGCTTTCCCTAGCTTTTTGTGAGGGATTCATTCAAAGACAAATGTGTGACCGATGGTCAGTTTAGCATGCAGCTTCATGATGCCACAGCAAAGATGCACAGCGCCAAAAGACACAATAGACGACAAAGACTCAAACTTTGGCCACGATGCGACGCAGGATTCTCGTTAAGGTAAGGCACTTTGAACTGAACAGAAAAAACGTTTCCATAGTTAGATGCAAAATAACTTGTTTGCTGCCGTCAACAGGGGGTGCTGCGTTCAGAAATTCACTCAGGCCCTGACACCACTCTTGAGGGTGTGTGTATGCTGAGAGGCAGAGCACGCTTCCTTCCCATTAATTTCTGAACACAGCCGAGGTTATAAACAGGGGTGGCCCATATAAAAACCTTGCCAGTTTGGCTTTAGTCACAGATGCTTCTACCCAAACTGCAGCCCTGCCGGTTGTAAACCAATGAGCAGCTCATGCTAGAACTGTTTCCATCTGTAATGTCTGACGCACTGGGCTCCGAACTCCTTTTTTGAGCACTCTGAATAATGGAACAAACTTAAACAATGCTCTGACTTTATGAATGGTCAGAGTGAAGCACTGCGCGCTCAGAATATTTCCGAACGCACCCACGATGAGGAAACAGGGACCCCAGGCCTGAGTCCGACCATCGATGATCTTGGGTCTCGGTTTCTTGTAAAATGGCGATTTAGAGTTCTAAATCTAACCTAAATCTGAAATAATCAACTCAAAAAAGGTTTAAACAAGTTACCCGAAGGACTTTGTGAGTTTCTTGGTGCCAACGGGCTTGTCGCTGTGTTGCAGCTCATAGAAAACCCTCTGCAATGCCAGCGGAACACTCTTGGATGAGTCGTCTCCCTCTGTTGGCATCATGTACACTGCCTGCAATGATTGGATTGATTGACATACATTAGAATGACTTTTTTTTTCCTCCCCCCACGGTGACCATTTTTGACATAACTGTTTAGAATTGAAAAAGTGTTTGGGGGGTTCAACTATCAGAGACGTGGGGAAAACATGAAATATCTCACCCGACGTAGTTGATTGGTGAAGAAGAGTGTCTGAAGTAGGCTGTTCATATAGCAGGTTGCTCCTTGGTTTTTGAGTCCAACATAACCTGTGTGTTTCTTTGAGTCCCAGCTAGTCACATACAAAGCAAATGTTACTGTCTGATTGCAGCAAGCCTTCATAGGCACAGTGCTGCTGAAAAAGCCAGGCTTAGACAGCCATGAGCCAAAGAGTATTAAAAGCTACATACGCCACCCCGTGCGGAGCATCTGCCTGGACGTACACCTCAAATGTGACTTTGTCGTCATCAATAAAGCCCCTCTCTGGGTCGGTGACATCCTGCAAAACAATGCAAGGCATGCAGTTCATATCAAGAGCACCAAGGTTAAAACAAAAGACTAAGTGAAAAGCAAAATCATATCAAGAGCACCAAGGTTAAAACAAAAGACTAACTAAGTGAAAAGCAAAATAAAAAAAGGTGTCCCGTTTAGAATCTCAGTATGTACTGTACGTATACTTACACTCCAGGACATGAAGTTGGAAAAGCCCCAATCGTTCTCTTTGTGGAAGAACAGGTGACCAATCCTGCGACTGAACGACTTCTCATCATCTTTGTAGTTGATAATTTTTAGCATTGCCTGTGCATGGCATGACCATGACCTGAAGATAAAAACGGTTCGGTGACATTGTTATTATCTAAAGGCTTTCTTCACACATTATAGAACAGTTTGGTTACGATGAGAGTCGGTGTCAACAATGTCAGATGATTTCTAAATTAAACACTTGCAGAAGCACAGTGTACTTACTGTAAGCAAACACGAATTTGTGAAAATAGGAATGAATAGATAAGCAAGACCTGATAGTATATCCTCATCTTTTTTTTTTTTTTTACTTTTAATTGTCCTAAAATAACAAGCTACTTAGAAGATTTCGAGACGAATACCTCGAACATACATCCTGCATTAAAAGCACAAAGGGAAAAATTAATTTAATTAATGCGTACTGGATTCCTGTGTATTTTACAACTTGCTGATAAATTTAGCTTAATTTTTCTGCATGTGTAATAGCATGCATTTGTTGCTGTTTTCACTACTTTGCATGCTGTACTTATCAAACCCCTTGTGACCTTTTTTCCATGAACAGTGCAGTATAAATACATGCCACTTTGTAATTGTATTCAGCGTGCGCTTGTGTGGTATGAAGCTTAACAAAGTCCTGATTTCAAGAGAATACACTTACGTGGAGTCTGATTCTGCATTACACTGCAAAAAGAAGCCCACACTCTTCTGGTGTGGCCGGTCGGCGTAGAAGCGCGGCATCACCATGATCTTCCATGGGAGGTTGCGCACAAAGCAGGACGGGCTGAGAACTGACTCGCTGAGGCGACTGAAGCGCTCCACCACAAACCTAAAGGTTGCTTCTGACCGCCAACTGGTGTCTGGGGTGAGTGAAAAGGAGAAATGAAGGAAGAGAAGGCCTCGAGCTCGCACTGAAAAGGCAGTGAGAACGATAACGTCAACATTTTGTGTCAATGCACACCCTCCTCACCATCCTCCATGTCTTCCTCTGTGTTGTTGTGTCCATCTGCCATGGCCATGTTACCATTGATAACTGGGTTGGCCGGAATTCTTGGAGGGTCGTCAGTGTCCCCAGCTGGAAATAAAAGGACGAAAGAAAAAAGAAACACAGACAGAAAGAAAGAGAGAGAGAGAGAGAGAGAGAGAGAGAGAGAGAGAGAGAGAGAGACGATGCCATAATTCTGAATGACAGGAAGGCATGGGCCTACTACCGGTTGAACGTGCTTCTAAAAAGTTATGGTTTCAATACCCGCTAATAATGGCTGTCACCTGTAATGAGCTCTTTTCTTCTTTTGAAGAGAGGTTGAAGCAGAGCACATATGATTGGCTGCTTGCAGAGTTCAGTAAATGAGCCACCTCAGAAGTCAATCGGCTCCTATTAACTTTTTTCCCCCTTCTCACCACATAACTGATGATGAGGGGTTGGGGGACCAAGAGGATACACTGAAAAGATGCCTTTTTGCTCTTCGGACAGCGCTTAGTCCATTAGTTTTTTGAATTATCCCGCCAGTCAGCAGCAAACCGGGTGTCCGTAAGTGAAGGACTGATGATCCTTCCGTTAGCACTGACGGAATGCCCACCTTTGAAAATGACAATACCTCAAATTCATCAAACAACTATAAAACAGCCTACTGTTATTAACAAAAGGAAGAAACAAGTGCCATGTCCCCAGAATTGCCTACTTAGGAGTTACGATGTGGTTTTTTTTTCCAATTGTCTTATCTATTTATGATCTGTTCTGTTGTATTATATTTGTTATTTTATATGTTAAATGTTCTGGAAAAAAACAAGTCAAATTTTGTAGGGGATTTAAAAGAAAAAAAAATTACTCTGGATGTGCACATTGGTTTCATAACTGGGAAGCCATTTCCACAGGAGAATACATTTGTTTACAACTTGGGATTCACAAACGTAAGACAAAGCCCTTCCTTGGGAAGGTTTCCTCAATAGGTCATGTGAATCGGCACATTTACAGACCCTGACTAAAGCAAAATTGACTTATCTGAAAAGGAGTTGTAGGACTCATGCAAGCCTAAACAATAAACAAAACAGAGGGACCAGTCACCGACCACCCAATACCCTCAGGCAACTGGGACAACTCGAGGGGTTCTGGAAAGCTGGAGATGAATCCCATACAACCACAACAACTACAAAACAATACATTCCCCTAAGAAAACTCAACTATGCAAGAGTTTAGACCTTTCATCAAATTGAAACATCTGTGGTGCAACACGAAAAGCTGTGTGCAAGCGACTCCTTAAGAATCTGATGGATTCTGACCAATTTGGCATGCAAGACTGACTGTATTTAAGTAAACCAACAACACGTGTTTTCATGCAACGAGATCGTCATATATGGTGAGTCCCTCAAACAGATTTCATTGGAGGCGTACCAGTGGTTCTAGGTCATTTTTCAATGATTTCCAGAATTTCACGTAGGATAAATACAGTATCTAACTCATTACCACTGCCACTAATGTCCTCAAGTCTGACCCTAGAAAACTTGACGAACAAGGTTGTCAGGAGACAAACACTGTTTGCCTGTCTGCCATTAAAACCATTAATATGCATCCGTGTTTGTCTGCTCCCTTCCAACGTCAAGAAACAAGAGGTATCAGTCTTGTCTGTCTCTCCAGTTGAGATATAAACAAGTGATCTTGTTTTCGTGTGGTACATTACACAAATTTACATTTAACTGTCAATTTATTTTCCCATTCACTGGGTCAGATTTTCTGAAAGATCTCAAATGATTGATGCAAGACGTCTCACTTAGTATGTTAGAATGAAATGCGGTATTGCAGTTGCAAGACAAAAAAAATTGTCGACAATTTTGTATGTTTCTAGGAACTCATACGTAGCTTTGAAAATACGGTGTTGAATAGTTTTCTACTTTATTATACACAATTAAAATACAAAGAAAAAAAATTTGCGCTTGCGTTGCATTTGCGGCTGGGTTGAGTGGGGAGCACAGGGGGTCATTGCCAAATATTTTTAAAAGGTGATTTCAACTCCACATCAAAAATATATATCGTTAAATCCTTGTACCCCCAAAAACCATTAACAGTGCATCAAAGAGAGCAAATCATGACACTTTAGATTGGTCACTATGAAATTTTGGAAAATTGATTTCTATGTTTTGGCTCTACACTAACAGTTATAGGTGACATTCCTAAACTACGTTTAGAATTTTATGCAACACTTATGATTAAACTATCATCCGACTGACACAGCGTTTGTAGATCATAGTACAAAAATAAAGTGCAAACCTAGGTAGTGAACATGGTAAAATGATAAATAGGCTTTGGGAGACCTGCTTCACACGAAAAGCATCAAATGCAACAATTTAAAAGTCTGAGTACCTCTGGGTTATTCAGTAAGTTGAAGTGACTATGAGAACGAGTAGGCTTGCGTGCTGGTGTAGAACGCTTGGCAGTGTGTTAAACCAGAAACCCAAATCAATAGGGATAAGTGACGCAGTGATGCTGAGGGCTCGCAGTCTCGTACTCGATCCAAAATAACCATCTGGGGGGGTAAAAACGCACACATTTGAAATGGTCTACGCGCTAATGTGTTATGGGTATTGCTGCAACGTTACCGGTAGATCTGCCCCGAGTACAGAGTGGTCTAACAAAAACAGAGATGATTAAAAATGGCGAGCTCCATGCTGTTTGGTCTGCCATACAATGAAGCAGCAAATCCCCGCGCTGCCCCAGTGCGGGCTTGGCCCGACTGCGGCGGCAACAGTAACTAAACACACAGCCACCACTGCACCATTTAATATCATTTGGAGAAACGTATAACTTGTCTTTCTAAATGCTTCTTATCCTAATCGCACCCACGCCACAATTTAAACCATTGACAATTTGGCAAACCTGGACTGACGCATCTGCGTTAGCCACTTAGCTCTTTAGCAAACACTTAGCCACCGTCCAGTCTCTTAAAGGCCACCATTAGCCGCTGTGACAAGTACCAAGTAACAGCCTGCGATCAACAACAAAAGACAAATTTCGCCCAAAACTACAGGACATATACGCGGAAAAAACATTCGAGGTGCTAAAATAAAGTTTTAAACGGGTGTCCTTCTCAAGAAGAAGCTTGCAAAACACAGGCCACCATTTTAGAACGCCACACACCCCCTCCGTCTGGGTTAGCGCGTGAAGCTAACTAACGTGCTAGACGGTGAACGTACGAATCCAAGTGGGCCTTGAGGTTAATTGCAGAGCTTTGAAATTAGCTGCCTTGCTAGCGGCATCCGTACGTTTTACCGACTTAACACACGAGGTCTTTATTAGAAGACGACAACATTGTAGATTGGCAACAATGCAATTATACTCGTTTTCGCGTTTGGAGGGCCCACACCGAGTTTCTATCTCACAGGCCCCGCTTGTGAACTCACGTCACCAAACATGATGCTAACGCAACCATCAGCGAGAGGCTGCCATAACAAGGTTTTGTTGAACAAACAGCTTTATGAGTGTAACGTTTCATGCCACGGCCACGTAAAAATTGATTCGCGAGCTCTTGACCAAAAGACGCAGGTGCCAGAAGCTGTCAAAATTCCACCCACCCGTAGCTCCCAGTGAATGTTTTATCCAGCAATTTCCATGTTAATTATTACACTAACAAGCCCACTGTTTACAAACACTGAAACTGCGCATCAGCGCTCTATATTTCCCTCTTCCGGATCACTACCTGCAGTAAATTAAACCGGGCGTGTTCTTTCTCGGCACGTGAATGAATGTTTTATAAGACTTTTAACAGCCTTGCTTGGATGGTATTCTGTGGCATCCTCAAGCATAACGAGGATGCGGGCACGCAGAAACTTAACAAGTTTAAAAGGGAAAACGAGGTCAACTCCACGCAAGTATGCAGCAACGGACGCGCAATCAGCACAAACGCAGCCGGTTCACTCCGGGCCCTCGTGTTTACTGTTAAGTTCAACCCCCCTCGCATGGGTGCAACTTCGTGCACACTTCGCGCAAAGGCGTCTATTGTGTGACAAACGCTTCCAAGTGCAATCACTAACCTTCCATTTCCATATCCTCGGGTTCACTGAGCTGCTGTTCGCCGGCTTTCTGCTGCTGCTGCGTGTGGTGGTGGTGGTGGTTCATGTTGGCAGCTTTTGTCGTTGCGATGCGGGGCTCCCTGCTCTCTCGGCTGCCGTCGACGTCGTCCGAGACCGGTTCAGATGCGAACCAGTTTCTGGACTGCTGATGAGGTGTGGTAAGATGCGGAGATGGGGTGGACCGCTCGAGCCTCGGCGGCCGGGCCTGCTCTGCAGCGACCTCGGCCTTGTCCGCTGTCAGCGCCGGGGAGTGAGGAGGGGAGGTCGGCGGGGGAGCGGGTAGAGAAACGCGGACGTATTTGCTCGCTATTCGCCCAATTTCGGCGCCTTTGGTGGGTGCGAGTAGCTGGCTGGCGGCGGCGGCTGGCAGTACGGCTCGGGGCTCCGAGGAGGGAGGCCCGCTGAAAGGAGCTAAATTATTCCGGCTTTCCACCGGGAAGTGTGGAGCAAAAACACGACCCGCACCTGGTGGAACAAATAGCCGGTTTACAGCTAGCTTAGCTACCTGACACAAGGTAGCCAATAAACGCTAAAGATACAACAATGAAAACAAAAGCTCTTGCGGTAGCCACACATTCAATAACTTTGCCTGCGATATCCCCAGTCCGTGTGCTCCTCCGTGTGTCCCTCGTCTGGGGAAGAGCGGAGGAGAAAGCTATCCATTCAAACCAGGTTGCAAATAGAAATAGCTTGGACTGACGTTAATTTGGAAGTTCGCAGAGACGAGAGTTGCCGCGGCCCCGATCCAAACAAATTCCCCACGAAAGCGTCCCTACTGACAAAAAGCGGCAAGCCGTCGCATTCCCGTCAAACAAGTGCCGTTCCCCAAGAGGAATGTGCCTGATCATGCAAGCGTTGTGACTTGAGCGGCGTTGGCCCTCGACACGCTCCTCCCGTTGGTTTGTACTAGGCTCAATGTGGGAAGTCAAAATGGCGGCCGCTATCTTGCATGAAATGTCACATCCGCATGGAGATCTAAACAGTGGCCAAGCCCCGCCAAGGTTCACTTCCACCTCTACCCGGCATGCGAAATACTCATCATATGTGTGCCATCTTTCGCTAAATTTAAATAAATACAACAGATTAAAAGAGGCACATTTGCAGCTGACCGCCTGCTACATCGAAAAAGACATAAGTTGAAATACGCACTGTTTAACATCCGCTTCGTCATGTTTTTCATTTACCTGTACCCCATTTTAAAAATTATAACCTGTTGTGATAATTGTAATTAAAATAAAAGCGTACTAATAAGCCCCAAATACTCATTCAATCCCCTTCATTAACCCTTTAACAACCAGTATAAAATAATTAGCTGATCATAAAAATCATTTTAATTTCATTTTGGGTAGTTGAAACGAAAAAAAAAGTTTCAATACGCGAGTCTCTATCAAATTGGGAAAATGAGCATAATGGAAAAACTGGAAGAAATATTTTTGAAATAAATATAGGACTCTCGAAGTGTTGTATGCGTACCACTAGTGATACGCGTGCTCCCTCTCGTGGTACTTGAAAGATCATCACTGCCTTGATTAAACTCAGTTGTAATTAACTTTTGAAGTAACGTAAATAAAAACAAACCAAATTGTTGAAAAATATGATGCTCTTCTAAAGGGAAAACTAGCGTAATAATATGTAAAACAGGAAGAAATTGAACTTTTAACATTTAATATTAAATAATTTTATTTATATTTATTTAGGTACAATTTAATGTATTGATGTTTTAAAGTGTGAATAATGTCACAGTGGCCTATAATATGAAATATACTTTATTTACTCTATTTTAATGTTGATCATGATGGTGATAATTATCTATGTTCTTTTTTTTCAGGTGGTACCTTGAGACACACATGTTTCATGTTTTGGGAACATTGGAATCACTGTATTTTTGAATTGTTTTGTTTAATTTCATTGCTGTTTTTAATGCATAAAAATTTTTCAGAAAATATGAATTGTTACCATATTGACTATCATATGTGTGTGCGTGTGCGTGTGTTTTAGCGCTTTTTGGATTGGATTGGATTGGATTGGATCGCTTTATTGTCATTACACATTCATGCAACGTTTTCCCCCTCGTACTAATTATTGTGCATTTCGTTATTTAACGTCACTCCAAATAACGTGCACTTTTTTTGAGTGCGGACTTTTTGGGTGTGTGTATGTGACAGCCAACTTCTATCCGTTGAGACTCGCGTAATTATAATGAAAACACACAATACTCACGCAAAATCGAATGGTTTTCTGAGAAGCGGTGGCCGCACATACATATACTTAATATAGCTAGAAAAGGTCAAGCAACAAACGTCCGAGCAAATGTCATCACGTTCGCTTGTGCTCATCTTTGTCGGCTTTGGCGAACACCACCACGAGAAATGTGTATTGGTAATAACCCTTTATGTCTGTGATGTGAACATGCGTGGTCCATGTTTTTATATGTTATTTATACGAGAACATAGGGAATATTCACAAAATGGCCACTTGTGAGTTTGAGAGAAAACGATATGAGGATAGTGAGGAAAATTTGCATTTTAGGTTCTACGTTTGAATCGACATGCAATTATTACTGCTATATTTATCACGCAATTTGAAAAGTCAATTTGATAAGGGCTCACAAATTTTACAGTAACTTCAATAGTAATATCTTTAATTTAAGCTGCTATCGCCACACATAGCTGCTGAATCATGTTTCTATTTATAGACCCAATGAAACATATTACATGACAATACATTAACATTAGAATTGGCATCGAGATATAGAACTTTTGTTGTAATCTAAAGCAGCTTTGCTAACTTTATATATGCTGAGAAAGAGTTATTAAACATTTATTTTGTGCATGCAATACTTTGTTTTTCTTTTCTCCCCCCCCCCTTCAATTTTGCGGCTGTAGATTGCAAATTTCTCCATTGTGGGACAAATAAAAGTTTTCTTATCTTATCATATCTTATAAAAATGACACCTTCCATAAACTTTACCGCGTATTCTTTTCAGCATATCCCGGCTGACTTTGGGCAATAAACGGTGTTCATCCTCCACATGAAGATACATTTGACACCCTAAATGCCGTTGAGAAATAAGCATACCCTTCGTGCCATCGTTCTTGCCGGGCCATGCCATCTTCGTGAGGCGGATATTGTTTGTTTTGAACTTGTCAAGAAGGGTAACTCAAAAACGAAACGTTTAGTGTACCTGAGTGTGACGTCATGTTCGTATTGACCCATCCGCCTCGTTGTGCTATGTATTGCTCAGAAAATCACTCGTTTTTTTGTTTGTTTTATGCGTATATACAGACATCAATGGGATATTAAAAACGTGGTTTATACAAATAAATACCCTACGCATTAAAAGCAAGTAAACATAACTTTGCTGGAAATGTTACAGCGTTTATATCTTCAAATGTATTTTTTTTTTGTACGTGCACACATTTATTGTGCAAAACTAAGCACGATTAATGATTACTACCCTGCATTGCATTTCAAGCACAAAACAACTCCGATAAAAGTATAATCACGATTATAACAAAGGGGCAGTATAATTGTTCAATGAATATTCATGAAAACACATGCAAAGTTTCCTAAATAAATATAGAGGATTATCAATTAATTTCAAACAGTATTTACATTTTGCATTGTAGTTTGGAGAAGCGTGCGCTCTCTTGCAAGCTTTCGAAATGGGGACATTTCTTTTGTGGCAAAACTGTGAAGGGCAAGTCAGAAACGCAATGGACTTGTGACTCTGACGATAAACCCCGCCTTTTACGATAGGTTTGGCCAATCACCGTCAAATTACTGACGACGGGGCGGGTCTAAGCGAACAACACGGTAGTTTACGATTGTATATATCCCTGACGTCGGCAACTCAGAAAATAGTCGGCTAAGCATAGCTTCG